AAACTCATGCCCATAAAGGATTAGGCAGGACAACGCTAGACTCAAGTTCACAAACAGCATCTCCAACAATCTTGTCTGTGTAGGCTATGTCTGTGCTTTCCTCTGTGGCATTATATTCTCAGGCAAGCTTTCCCTAAGTCATGGCAAGACTGCAGATTTCCATCTTACCAGTTTAGGCAACCCCAGCTAGAAGCAAGAGCCTCTCAGAGCCTCTTAATTCCCTACGCTCCCGCACAATCAGCATTGTCTCATTGGCCAACCTTAACTCATGGCTCCATTGTGAACCCGTGTTGATGTGGGCGAGGACATAGGTAGGAAGCAGGAAGCAACAGTGTCCTTGGGTCACAAATTCTCAGTCTTGAGTTCAGAACTGAAGTCACTTTAATCACACAGACTGCCAAGGGCAGAGGTGGGGATTTCCAAAGGAAAACCAAGGTCCTGTTTTAAGAAGAAAGAAGGTGAATTCTCTGCTGATCCAGTATTAGGACTACACACTTTCACAGCCGAGAGTGTTAGATCAATAGAGAAGTAAGATCCCCACTGCACCTGTGTGAACCCCCCGCTCCAAAAAAAAGAAGGAAAAGAAGAAAGGTGGGCGCCAATCAGGAGACAGGTAGAGAAAGCAGCAGACATACTGATGGTAGAGCTTGGAAGCTGAAGTCAACACTGTTGTTCAACTGAGCGTTCTTAGAAGCACGGGAGATCTTGGGATCTAGTAACTTGTTCAGTCGTCTTCATTTTCTCCCTTAAGTGTAGAACTGTTCTACACAAACCATAGCCATGAGGAAATGGGAATGGTAGCAGGGGCAGTTATGTCAACAGAGGTCTCTAGATGGGTTAGGACACAGCAGAGCCACACCACTCATTCATGCTGGCCAATGAGCAAGGTCAGTGCTCAGCATGGAACAGTGACCTTAGATTCTGCAGGCAGGTTACCTTGTATTAATCAAATCTCAAAGATACCCTTACAATTACAGAATAGAATGGAATTTAGGAAACTGAGCTTCTATTTTAGAGATGACTCCTCTGAGTTCATGATTGCATTGATTTATGGCTTGTGCACATAAAAGTGGCATTCAGGACATTAAAAACAAGAAATAATTTGCTTATCCTGATGAGTTTCATATCACTGATGCTCTTAAAATTTTCTGAAACTTACTGTGGGGCTGACACGAATTAAATAATGGAAAACAGTACATTATTAAAGGGAAAAAAATTCTTTTTTATTCCTTCCTGAAAGTAAATGATTTTAATTTGACAAGTTTCAGAGGTCATGTTATAGATAATGCTACAGATAAAGAGTTGATTCTTGACATGTCTCATCCTTTTGGCTGCTGTTGTAAGTAAGCTGAAATTCTACTCTTCCTTGGTATTTATTTACGTCACTACTTTGGGTTGGATCTGGGAATCATTACAGCTAATACTTTTCATTGTTTGAGCAACTAACTGTTAATGCCCAAGGGAGATAGACAGTCATTTCTTAAATATTTTCTCATAGATGAATTGGGAAATTTTTTTTACTCTTATTCCTATTTTATATGAGAAGTAATTGAAAGCAACAGTGGATTTTAAAAATCTATTCCAAGATTCTCAAAGAATATGGATGCATTCCCCCTTACAAAATTTCTAATGCTGAAAAAAATTAAAGATAAATTAAGATATGTTCCTCTGAAATACACATATACATATATATATTCTGTTTACAACATAGGTTGTGTTTATTGTGGCTGTTGTTTAGTTGCTCAGTCATGTCTGACTCTTTGCAACCCCATGAACTGTAGCCCACCAGGCTCTCTTGTCCATGGGATTCTCCAGGCAAGAATACTGGAGTGGGTTGCCATGTTATGTTTATGCAAGTAACCTAATCAGGTCAGGCTGCTATAACAAAATATATGCTGAGGGAGTGAGTGAAAGTTGCTCAGTTGTGTCCGACTCTGTGACCTCATGGGCTGTATAGTCCATGGACTGAATTCTCCAGGCCAGAATACTGAAGTGGGTACCCTTTCCCTTCTCCTGGGTTGACTAGGCTTAAATAACAAGCATGACCCTCTTGATGAAGGTAAAGGAGGAGAGTGAAAAAGTTGGCTTAAAACTCAATATTCAAAAAACTAAGATCATGGCATCCAGTCCCATCAATTCATGTTGAATAAATGGGGGAAAAATGGAAATAATAGCAGGCTTTATTTTCTTGGGCTCCAAAATCACTGTGGATGGTGACTGCAACCATGAAGTTAAAAGACACTTGCTCCTTGGAAGAAAAGCTATGACAAATCTAGACAGCATATTAAAAAGCAGAGACATCACTTTGCCAACAAAGGTTCATATAGTCAAAGCTATGATTTTTCCAGGAGTCATGTACAGATGTGAGAGTTGGACCATAAGCAAAGACTGAGCACTGAAGAATTGATACTTTCAAATTGTGGTGCTGGAAAAGACTCTTGAGAGTCCCTTGGACTGCAAGGAGATCCAACCTGTCCATCCTAAAGGAGATCAGTCCTCAGTGTTCATTAGAAGGACTGATGCTGAAGCTGAAGCTCCAATACTTTGGCCACCTGATGGAAAGAGCTGACTCACTGGGAAAGATCCTGATGCTGGGAAAGACTGAAGGCAGGAGGAGAAGGGGACAACAGAGGATGAGATTGTTGGATAGCATCATTGATTCAATGGACAGAAGTTTGAGCAAACTCCAGGAGATAGTGAAGGGCAGGAAAGCCTGGCATGCTGCAGTCCATGGGGTCGCAAAGAGTCAGCCACGACTTAGGGACTGAATAACAACAAATTTCCCACATTTCTGGAGATCAGAGTGTCTGCAGATTCGATATTTGGTGAGAATCCTCTTCTGGTTTGCAGGTAGGAAATCACCTTGCTTTATTCTAACATCACTGAGAGAGACGACCAGCTCTTCGGGTATCTTTTGCTATAAAGGCACTAATCCTACTGTGATGACCCCATCCTGATGACCTCAAATTAACCTAATCACCAAAAGGCTCCATGGTCATATACCATTTCAGTGAGGTATAGGGCTTCGACATAGGAATTTTTGGAGGGCACTAACATTTAGTGCACAACAGGAAGGTTGTAAACACTTCTATTTTATTTAGCAAATATTTATATAGCACTTAATATGTGCTATTCTTTGGACACGACTGAGCACACACTCTTCTAGAAATGTTAACACATTTCATATTCATAACAACTTTGTGAGGCAGGCACTATCGTTAGCTTGCTTTAACAGAGGAAGAGCAAGAGCAAGGACAGATTAAATAATTGCCCATGATCCCATGGTCACGTGGCAGGTAAATGTGCAGTTGAGATTTCAGCCTTGACAACCTGATTGACAAACTCCCTCTGTTCCTGAGGCAGACCCTCTTCCTCGGCTCCCCAATCCTTCTCACAGCATCCACAGAACATCACACACATCCTCGAGGTCCTTACCTACTCTGGAGGGCAGACCAACTACAGTTTAATCCAAAAAGAGATATTGAAACTGACGCTGAAAGTGAGAAGGCCTCAGTTACACAGAATTTGAAATGTAAGTACATTGATAGTTGATTCCCAAGAGGGAATCAGTCCAAAGAAATAGGCAAATTCAAGCAATGCGGAGTGAAACGTACTAGTGATCTAGTATGTGTCCAAAGCCATATCTGTCTGCTGCTTAAAGTCAGGAATCTTAGGCACTCACTTTCTGATCTTAAGATCTTTTCTGCCCACAGACAGAAAAGGTGAAGGTGAAGGGACCTCCTGAGCCAAACATGACCCTTTATAATACCTGATACCTGTGGTGAGTGAAAACACAGCCTTGTATAGAGCAAAAAGTGGTGCTCTTTCACTAAGTTCCAGAATTTCAAAGAAAGGACAGATAAGAGATTACAACACAGTATCCTAAAATAAACAGGGGATCAACCCGTTTAATAGTCAGGTCCCTGGCCCTCCCCCGGAGTCCCTATCTCAAAACAAAACAAAACAGTGGCACAAGCGTGATTTATTTTTGATCCTAGAACATCAGGAATTAGACAAAGGTTCTTACATATAAACTGAGATGACAGATGTTATTTTAAACAGTGCGTTTATTTCAGGGATTCACAAAATCTACAAAACGCAAATTAAAGAGAAAGAGGAAAGACAGACAAGACAAACAAACAAAGGCTGCCATTCTAGCCTCAACTCTTTCAATCTCCAAAATAGAAGTGTCTTTGAAAGAAATTAACACCCCCCTAAGCTGCGGTGCATCCCTATGCTGGTCTAATCAGTCTGACAACGCCCGCTGACTACCAGGGGTGTCCGGGCGCCCAAGGTACCCCTCTCGACCGTAGGTACCCCCAGCCTGGCGGCGACTCACTCCCCCCGTGGGGATTTGGGCACAGAGGACACCCCGCGTGCGTGGACTCCCCGGGAGGCAGGCGGAGCCAAGCCTTCCTTCCGGACCCAGGAATGACCCGCGCGTCCGGGAATTTCCCGGGCCCAGGGCTGCCAACTCCCGCCCCAACCATGGATAAAAGGGGTTCGCTCGGCTCCGGGAGCCACAGAGCCCGCTCAGCCAGCGCTCCCGCCAGCCTTCCCGCAACAGACACAGACCCTCCGAGCTGAGACCCATGGCCCGAACTGCGACCGCCGCCGCCCCCCGGCTCCTCCGCGCCGCGATGCTGCTCCTTCTCCTGGTGGCCGCCTGCCGGCGCGCGGCAGGTGAGACCCGGATCCCCAGGGCGGGACGGCGACGGGTGGGTACCCGTGAGGACAGCCCCTAACCCACCCTGTCCTTCCCGCAGGGGCTCCCGTGGTCAACGAACTGCGCTGCCATTGCCTGCAGACCTTGCAGGGGATTCACCTCAAGAACATCCAGAGCGTGAAGGTGACGCCCCCGGGCCCCCACTGCGGCCAAACCGAAGTCATGTAAGTAGAGCCTCTGTTTGTGGTCCTTATCAGCCCCGCCGTCCGGATGTCCCAGCCTAGACTTGCAGCCCGACCTCCTGCCTCACGTGGATTCTCCCTTTTCTCTGCAGAGCCACTCTCAAGAATGGTCAGGAAGCTTGTCTCAACCCTGAAGCTCCCATGGTTAAGAAAATCATCAATAAGATGCTAAACAAGTGAGTCGTGGATTTTATTCCTACTTGCAACTAGAGCCATTGGTCTCAAATACTGGCATCTACCTCCTGAAAATATTATTCGAGAAACCCACAGTCTAGTTGTAGGACTAAAAGCCATTATTTCCCCATTAAATTTGATCTGCTTTAGTGTCAGAAGGCTATTTCCAGCTCCCTCTGTCCTGATCCTGCTCTCCATCCCCATTCAAATGAGCCTGTATGTCCCTAAAAGATTAAGTAGGGCTTTCCTAGTCAGAAGGTAAAGAATTCACTTGCAATGCAGGTGACCCAGGTTCAACCCTTGAGTCAGGAAGATCCCCTGGAGAAGGGAATGGCTACCCACTCCAATGTTCTTGACTGGAGAATTCCATGAACAGAGCAGCCTGGTGGCCTACAGTCCATAGGGTCACAAAGAATCAGACACAACTGAGCGATTTCAAAAGATTAAGTAAATTTAACCAGAAATGGTAAAAAGCTTTCAACCCATTAAAGAACAGATGTTGTTTACCTCCATTTCTCAATGTTTTCTACCTGAAAAGTGGAGACCCGGGTTTTGGGTAACAGGGACCTCAGAAACTTAGCAGTGAAAAGCAGGACTTTGCAGTGAAAGCTTCCTGAGTTGTAGGATGCCTGTGAAAGTTTTTTAATCCCTTCGAGCAGAAACCTTTTCTGAGTGCAGAGCTGGGCCAGGGTCTGCATGCAGAAGTCCCTCCAGTCTTGGGGCCTGTACAAGAAGATTAGCTTTCCTCAGCACCTGTAACCCTAACCCTTTTCTCATTGCAGGGGCAGCACCAACTGACCTAGAAGGAAGTAAGAAGTTCATTGATGACAGTTCCTGAAAAGTGGTCTCTGCTCTTATAGGAACTGAAAATGAAGAAGAGAACGGCTGGTTTCCAGGGACAACTGGAAAGGACTTGATGTGCTGGACTATTTTATATGAGTTCTATTTATTTATATATGTATTTATTTTTCAAAGCTGGTATTTTAGTCTTTTACATGTTAGCGTTTAAAGATGTGATTATGTTAAATCAAACATAACCCAGTCCTGATTGTTATTTAATATGAAGATGATGAGTTTTAAATGTTTTATTCAACTGGTATTTATTGGAAGACCATAAAGTGCCAGGCATTATGAGAGAGGTGGAGGCGGTGAGTGGGAGAGGGGAGTTCATACAATTAGACAGTGAAATCACTATTAGAATCAGGGAAAGTATGTGCATTTCTATTTCTGTACTTTTTTTTAAAGAATGTCAGTTGTTATTTATTGAAATGATTTCATATTATGTGGTCAACATTTTTATGTTGAAATTTCCCTTGGACATTTTATGTCTTGCTTGTAAGGCATAATGCCTTGTTTAATGTTTACTATGCAGTGTTTCTCTTTGTTTTGGAACAAAGAAGTTAAAACTACTGTTACATTTTTTAAATGGCATGAAAATAAAAGTTCTGCAAAAAAAAATAACATGACTAGGCTTTGTTTTATTCTTCTTGATCTTTAGTTCCTACTGGGTGCTCAAGATATTATACTCTTAGGCTTAGATTGTGCCTAACTTTATGCCAACTCCTGGCTGTTATTCCCTTATTTTTCTCTAACTTGAGAAGGACTATTTGATATACTACCCTCCTCAACCACTTTGAGAATTCTAGTTTTATGAAAAAATATTGCTGTTTTTTTCACACTGACCAATTTGTTATTCAAAATTAGTTCTTTATAAACTGTTGAACTTTTATCAATATTTCAACAAGGGCTCCTATTAATTGTTCTGACAAATGGTTTTTCAAACAGCTATGCAATTCTTTTCCTTTAATGAAGCTGGGAGAAAAAGATAGAGAAGTAGATTATTCCTAAGAACAGGAGCAGTTTGTGTTGTTTAAAATGACAATAATAATGGTCAGTAGAAATAAATACATACTGTACAGTAAAATATATGACAAAAATAACACAATAGGTAGGGGGTAAATAGATTTATAATACAATGTGTTATACAATACAATACATTGTTAGAGAAAGCTTTAAAGAAAATTGCAATGTGACAAGAATATAGTAATTTTTAGGGCAACCAATAAAAAGAAAATGCAAAATTTTAGATTTAAAAATCTGAAAGGGGAGAAAATTGAATAAAAGAAAATACCTGTATAATACAAAAGTAGACAAAAATTAAGGACTAAAGGAACAAAACAACAGATGCCACAGGGAGAAATGGCTTCCTTTCAGAAGGATTCCTAATAATATAAGTGGAGCCTCTTGAAGGTGGGGTTTAATTCCAACCCCCTCACACACACCTGAGTTTGGGCTGGACTTAGTGACTTACTTCCAAAAAAGAGATAAGGAAAAAGGAAAAACAACAAACTTCCAGTAGAGAATCCGTCACTTAACCAAGTAATTAAGATTATTATCGCCACTTGATATCACTTGAATATCATGTACTCATATGATGTGATGAGAAGGACACTTCATCTTCACGATTCTTACCCCAAATCAATAATCCCAGTGTAATCATCAGAAAATCATCCTAAAAATCCAAATGGAGGAACATTCTACAAAATAACTCATGAGTATGCTTTAAAACCATCAAAATTCATGAATGAAAGACAAAACTAAGAATCCGTCACAGCCCTAAAGAGACAAAAGACACATGAATTAATGCCATGTGGCATGCTGGATTGGATACAGGAATAGAAAAAAAACGTTAATGGAAAGTGGTGAGACCCAAATGGAGGCTGGAATTTACTTAACAACAATGTGCCAATGCTGATTTCTTAGTTTTGACAAGTGATTATAATTATGTAAGATAACAAGAGGAGATACTGGGCCGAGGTCCACAGGAACTCCTTGTGCTATCTATACAAGTGTTCAGTAAATCTAAAATTATTCTGGGGCTTTCCTGGCGGCTCAGTGGTAAAGAACATGGCTGCCAATGTAGGAGACGTGGTTTTAATCCCTGGTCCGGGAAGACCCCACATGCCGCAGAGCAAGTAAACCCATGTGCAGCAATTACTGAACCTGTCTCTCCAGCCTGGGAGCTACAATCACTGAACCCACGTGCTGCACCGTCTGAAATCCCTCACCCTGGGGCCTGTGCTCCTCAACAAGAGGAGCCACTGCAAAGAAAAGCCCATGCACCACAACTAGAGAGCAATCCTGCTCGCTGCAACTAGAGAAAGAAAGGAAGACACAGCCAAAAATTTTTTTAAAAAAGTAAATTAATTAATTTTGAAAATTATTCCAAAGTGAAAGTCTATTTTTAAAAATATAAGACATTAAATCCAAATATATTAGAAATTATAGTAGATCAAAATGGGATAAACACTCAAAAGTCAAAGATCATCAGGCTGTGTAATTAAGACAGAGTCAGTGTTGCTTAAAAAAGGCATACTTTAAACATTAGGATCCAGATTATTTGAAATGAAAAGAATTGAAAGCACTATATCATGCAAAAAACCAATTGAAAGAAAACTAGCATGGATATATTGATGTATTAATTACTTATTAATTTGTTATTAGTGTAAATTATTGATATATTTGTTAATGGTTGATATCAATAACCTCAGATATGCAGATGATACTACCCTTATGGCAGAAAGTGAAGAAGAACTAAAGAGCCTCTTGATGAAAGTGAAAGAGGAGAGTGAAAAAGTTGGCTTAAAGCTCAACATTCAGTAAACTAAGATCATGGCATCCGGTCCCATCACTTCATGGCAGATAGATGGGGAAACAGTGGAAACAGTGGCTGACTTTATTTTTCTGGGCCCCAAAATCACTGCAGATGGTGATTGCAGCCAAGAAATTAAAAGACGCTTACTTCTTGGAAGGAAAGTTATGACCAACCTAGAAAGCATATTAAAAAGCAGAGACATTACTTTGCCAACAAAGGTCCATCTAGTCAAGGCTATGGTTTTCCCAGTAGTCATGTATGGATGTGAGAGTTGGACTATAAAGAAAGCTGAGTGCCGAAGAATTGATGCTTTTGAACTGTGGTTTTGGAGAAGACTCTTGAGAGTCCCTTGGACTGCAAGGAGATCCAACCAGTCCATCCTAAAGGAAATGAGTCCTGGGTGTTCATTGGAAGGACTGATGTTGAAGCTGAAACTCCAATACTTTGGCCACCTGATGAGAAGAGCTGACTAATTGGAAAAGACACTGATGCTGGGAAAGATTGAGGGCAGGAGGAGAAGGGGACGACAGAGGATGAGATGGTTGAATGGCATCATCGACTCAATGGACATGGGTTTGGGTGGACTCCGGGAGCTGGTGATAGACAGGGAGGCCTGGGGTGCTGCGGATCATGGGGTCTCAAAGAGTCGGACACAACTGAGTGACTGAACTGATACTGTGCATGCATGCTAAATTACTTAAATCATCTCTTTGCAACCCTATGGACTTAAGCCCTCCAGGCTCCTCTGGGATTCTCCAGGCAAGAATACTGAAGTGGGTTGCCAGGCCCTTCTCCAGGGAATCTTCCTGACCCAGGGACTGAACTTGCATCTCTTATTTCTCCTGCATTGGCAGGTGGGTTCTTTACCACTAGCCCCACCGGGAAGTCCCTGCTTATGTTATGTTAATTATAACCAAATAATATGTTAAGACTTATGAGATAAAGAAGGCTGATTTAAAATAAAAAGGTGGCAATTTTACAAGGCAATTTTACAAAAATACTTAGCAAACTTAATAACATTATCAAAATATATAAAGCAAAATGGAGAGAAACTAAAAGGCACAATATATGAAACCGGAGTCACAGTTAAAGATTCTAACAAACTTCTCTCAATACTTAAAGCAGTAAAGAATCAGTAACAGTATAGAAGAGTTAAACAACCTGACCAACCAATCTGGCCTGAAAAAAACACATGGGCATGCTTCACCTAACAACTGTATAAACCACATTTTCTTTTCCAGCACTCAGATAACATTTTCTAAAAGAGATCATATATGAGCCATAAAGAATGTATCAACAAATTTTAAAACCTTGAAAAATTACAGAGGATATTCTCTGATCATCAAG